AAAATTGGTACGAGACGCCAGATATGCAGAGCGAGGGATGGGATCAATCTGTTCCGTCTGAGTGCCCACGTCCACCGTCACGGCCCTCATGAATATTGAATCCGACTTCTCGCAAGATTTCTCCATCGAGATCTATACAATGATATCAGAAAAGCATGTGGAAGCTTGGCGTGATAGCGTACGACAATGCCAAGCGCGCCCCATTGGTTTTGTCGACCGATTCCACGACGCTGCATTTCGCTCCCAAAGCTCCTGCGGCAAGTTGAGAAAGTGATGCAAACAGAAGCTTCAAATGCTTACACCTGGCACATCGGATGAAATGAGAGCCAGCCTGATAACAATTGTCAGTAGGCGCGGATGACAATCACGGGCAGTGGTTTACTAAGTACAAGGCCCATCCCTCTTCCAAGCTTCCAGTTGACGTCAGCAAGGTATTCCAATTGCACAGGAGATATCACGCACATCCAGTCATTGTCTGAGGCAATCTTAATGGCGATGTCATATAGTTTCAATGCGTCAGCTCCTTCAGTGAGCGACGCAAATTCAGCATCCATGAGAGCAAGCCAATGCATTGTGTTTTTTGGTGATTGATGCTTGAGCCCACCTGCCGAGATAATGAGTGTCGAAGCAGGTTGACAGCAGCATCTGAGCGTACTTTCTGACGTACTCCTGATTGCTTCGGATTTGCTCCAAGTATCTCGCTCGGTCGACAGGATCAATATGACGATCGCGGAGGCATTGTATCATCGCCAGAGAGTGAAACGTTAACCCGAAGCGAACATGGCGATAGCTGAAGTGATAAGCATCGTTTCATCGTTTCGAACTCATATGATCGACGTACTTGGGGTGCCACTTGCGAGACTCGTATATCTGGAATCCGAGCTCCGCAGCCCGCGACCAGTATCCAAGGCTGTATAACGCAACGACCTTGAAAGTATTGTACCTGACGACAGTATGAGGGTGATGCCCTTGCATGAGAAAGCCACTCACCAGTTCAGGACAAACGGAACATTGGCGGATTGCATGACGACGTTCTCAAGATATTCCGATTCGATGAACTCTTCACAGTCGAGGGCGTCCTCAAGCTTCGTGTTGACAGTATACCCTCCAAAGGCCCGAGCACACATCAAGATAGCTAGAACAAACGTAAGTGGCCAGTAAGAAACCGAATGAAGGAATTTACCCATGACGAGAATTTCCGTGTTGTTTCCTGAAATCCATGTGGTGACGTCTTGATAGGCATCCTCGCAAGACGTAACTAGTTCGCTCACTAAAACGGGAGATCAATCACACGTCGAACGAAGAGCATGAGTAGAGCGCACAGTATCGGTATGTGAACAACTGCGTCTGTACATTGAAGAGACTCGCTAGGCTTGCGTAAATCCTGGCGCGTGTCAGCATATGACGTCTAGTACGATTTAGGACTTACCGGTCACCGGCTGCTCGGGACAGTCGTAGTGCAGACTCTGTTCTAGCGAGGTTGGCTCGAATGTGCTCAGTTTCCCATCCCGAGGCCAATGTAATATACATGACCTCATATTTGCTGCGTGCTTGTGTCAACCATCTCTTGTCAACAATATGGGAAAATCACGTACGCTCTGTCACCGATCACAGAGTGCTTGGCCGCAAGTTGCATCGCTAGTTTGCCCATCTGCTGCCCGAATCTGAAGTGTGCCTTGCGTTCCGCTGCGACACCCAGAGCCCACATAAATCCTCCAGGACTACCAGTGGAGATCCCATGTCTGGAAATGATTGATGAACATCAACTTGTGTCGTATTAGGTATAACGCACTTTAAGCTCAGTTCGATATTCTACGTA